GGGCGGTACCGCCCCCTGGGGGGCGGTACCGCCCACTTTGAGAACCGCTAAACTAAAGGAAACTCAAACAGTTTATTTGGAAAAAGCGAATGTTAAAACTTTGTAGGAAGCTCTATATGCACGCAGTTAGTGACGCCATGTGGTTGAACTGTAAAAAAAAAAAATTAATAAAATAAAATTCTGCAGTTTTAATACTGTTCATTTTCCGTCCACAGTTGGCTGACGTCTACGGGAACGTCTTCAGCTTTCGCCTCGGCCGGCAGTCCATGGTGATTGTGAGCGGCCAAAAGATGGTGAAAGAGGCCATCGTGACACAAGCTGAGAACTTTGTGGATCGGCCACAAAATGCAATCTTTGACAAGTTTTACACTGAGCCCTCAGGTGTGAAATCAGTTTCTATTTCTCGGTGCACAATAGAGTATATAAATCGAAGGGCTAATAATGTTTACAACTTTGTGGACTTATATATAGGTGGTCTTTTTGCAAGCAATGGAGAGATATGGAAGAAACAGAGACGTTTTGCTTTATCTACTTTACGGACCTTTGGCCTGGGCAAAAACACGCTGGAGCTCAGCATCTGTGAGGAGATCCGACACCTGCAGGAGGAAATAGAGAGTGAGAAAGGTAGGATAGATGCAATGTAAATGGCTCTTTACTGATATTAATGTGCAAGTGTTGTTTTTTTAAATATATTCTTCAAAACTCTTCTTCAGGTAAACCTTTCAGCCCAGCAGGCCTCTTTAACAATGCCGTCTCCAACATTGTTTGCCAACTTGTCATGGGAAAGAGATTTGACTACAGTGACCACGAGTTTCAGACGATGCTAAAGTGCATGTCTGAAGGTGTTCAGCTGGAAGGAAGCATATGGGGTCAAGTAAGCCAGTTAACTGAATGAATCACTTATTCTGACAGGTGAGATTTTTATTATGTCGTTTATTATTTCTGTGGATACAAACAGCTTTATGACGCATTTCCTCAAGTGATGAAATACCTGCCAGGTCCTCACAACAAAATCTTTAGCAATTATAACGCAGTAAAAGACATGCTTCTTGAGGAAATACAAAAGCACAAGAAGGATCTGGATCCCAGCAACCCCAGAGACTACATCGACACTTTCCTCATTGAAATGGAGAACGTACGTAGACCACCACCACTGAAGCTGCTTCCCCCTTAATCAAACTGATTTCTGTCCAGCTGTGAATCATTAACCAACCTGTGTTTTTATGTTGGTGCAGCACAAAGACTCCCTGGGCTTCACAGAGGGCAATCTGGCTTTCTGCTCTTTTGACCTCTTGGTGGCAGGCACAGAAACAACAGCCACCACGTTGCTTTGGGCTTTGCTTTACCTAACAAAATACCCTGAAGTTCAAGGTGAGTGACTTTGTACAGCGCCTTTCAAAAGTAACAACACACCTTGAATGTCTCAGATTCAAGGTGTGACCACATTGTGACCACAAACCTTAGGGACATAGTGTGTTAGACCCACACAGTCTGCAAACAGCAGGACCGTAGATGTCCTGGAGTAGTGTAATAAGACCTTTTTAGAGGTCCATTAAAACTTTGTTCTAATGAAAAAGACCAGGATACACACCAGAGAGGTTAGATATGATGTTGTCGAGAAGTATTAACTGTTTTTTAGTAGTTCAGTAACTTAAAAACTGACCATTTTACGCTGGTCAGAAGAGCTGCACCACTGAATACAACATGCGTTTCAAGTGTGATGGAAAGATGCTGAAAAATGTATTTTCCAAAGTCAAAAGGTTCAGCAGAGAGTTCAGCTGTGTCTACTCTCTCCATGATATGAATCAAAGTAAAACACGTGCCTTGTTTTAAATGGAGAAAGGAAATCTGAGCCTAATTCCTCATATTTAAATCCTTTCACAGAGAAAGTCCAGGCAGAGATTGACAGAGTGATCGGACAGAGTCGCCAACCCTCCATGGCCGACAGACAGAACCTGCCGTACACTGATGCTGTGATCCATGAGATCCAGAGGATGGGAAACATTGTTCCTCTGAATGGATTCAGGGTCGCCGTCAAGGACACAACTCTGGGTGGCTATTTCATACCAAAGGTAAATTTACTGAACAGTAAATGGTTAATGTATTAAAAAGTGTTTTCTCATCAATGACTGACTGATACTTTGGATTTTTCAGGGCACACCTTTAATGCCCATGCTGACATCTGTACTGTTTGACAAATCTGAATGGGAAACTCCAGACACCTTCAACCCCGGACACTTCCTGGATGCCAATGGGAAGTTTGTGAAGAGAGAAGCATTCCTACCATTTTCTGCAGGTACAGCACTCTGATATTTATGACCATGTCACTGAGTTGTTAGCATGACCAAAATGCCGTGCCGACAATGTCATGAAACCATTGTCGACCAATGTCAAACCAGCATGGTTTGGTTGCATGGGACGGGTCTGACTAAGATTAAAGGAAAGTTTTTAAAACCTTTGATGAAAATTTTTTAGTGCTCCACCTAGGTTTTTCAAGAATAACATTTTGAATAAATATCTCTGTCTTCACATTAAAAACATGGTGTGTGTCTTTGTTTGCCCTGCAGGGAAACGTGTGTGTCTTGGTGAAGGCCTCGCTAAGATGGAGCTGTTCCTGTTCTTTGTTGGCTTACTGCAGAAGTTCACTTTCTCTGTTCCTGACGGAGTTGAGCTGAGCACTGAAGGAATCACTGGAACGACACGAGTGCCTCATCCCTACAAGGTGTCTGCGAAGGTCCGCTGAGCTGAGGATTTTCACCAGACCTGGTTTCTGCTCGTCAGAGGACTGACCATAATGATTCTGGCATATCTGCTTGTTAAGAAAGCATGTTGAGTGAGGTTCGAATTAATCACCATTAACAACATTATACTTTGCCCTGACTCCAAATAGGAGAGAGCAAGAATTTGTCTTAAACAACAGTGTCTCCCTAAAAATAAATCTGAAACTGAAAAAATTGTTTGCGAAATGTTTGCATCCTCTGTTTTATTGAACAGAGTAAAAGCAACATACCAAATACAGAAATTTGTATATTTATCCACAGACTGAATGAATAAGCTGTATTGTTGAGGAATTATTTTATAGCAAACTTTGTTTTGGCTGTATTAGGAGAGCACAGCAAATGACTATGCAACAATTATGATGCTGTAATGGAAAATTTCGTTTTTAGCCTTATTTCGTCTTTGATGGAACTGATGATACTTTTTACCATTTATTTACTGATTATATCTGCTGTGTTTTTGTATTTCTGCAAGATGTGTTTTTCCATTAAAGAAGTTTCCAGATAATGTTAAGATGTTTCCGCAGCTGTAATAACAGAGACCTGAAGACATCTTGGGTAAAATGCTTAACCTGGCAATTGTCTTAAAGGACTCACATGTGGAATGTAGTTTGTACCCTTGTATGACCCAGAACCCATGAGGTCTGGCAGTTTTCTCATCTATTCAACTTTTTACATAGAAGCAACGACTGCTTCCTGTGCTCTGATCAGAGTTCAACTCCTTCACTAGTAAAATCTAATTAAGAACAGCTAACAAGTTCTCAATAAGGGTCAGGCCACGGAAAAAGAGGCGGTCCTTGCCTTTTGTCTTTACACGACTAGTAAGGTGGAAATTACAAATTTCATAAGAATCGTTCAAATGGTGACGCAAGCATGATACTTGGTACGTGTAAGGTCTACTCTTTTCATAAATGCTGCTGGCCACACACAAACCCAAGATAGCTGGCGTGCAAGATGTGTATTAATTAAATTATGTATTTATTATTAGTAGTAGACATTTTTAAGATAAAACTGTTTCTCTCTAACCACATTAAAGAGAAGCACTATTTTAATTGTCATAGTCTATAATTGGGATTTTAACATAGCATTCAGGATGACTTCGATTCATTTCAACTCTTATCTAAGCAACTACTGAACTAAATAACTGGTGTATGCATACACTATTTGAGTCAGAGAATCCAATGGAGACATTTTTCACATGTTTTAGTACAGGACTGGGGCAGTGATGAGATCTTGCAAAGTTAATAGAGTGATGTCAGCACACTGTGCAATGGCCCTCGACCAAGATGAAGAGCAGCCCAAAGCAATCATGGTGGTACCGTTGGGCACAACGATGACCCGTCAACACTTAGGAGTTGGATGGTTGCTGCTCCTGAGGTAAGATATTTGGTATCTCTGTACAAACAAAGGAGTCCAGCGAATGAGTCAAGTGAACACAGCTCACCATGAGCAAACACCGCTGACTTGCACTGATGGAGTCAAAATCTGTCTCTGCCTTTGCAAGAGTTGTGCAGTCCTTTCCACAAAGACAGTCAAGAACTTCTACAGACTCACTTGGAGAGAAGTGAGGACTTTTCTGAAGCATTGGCAAGTAATCCTTCTGAGTCAAGAGGAGCAGAACTGACTTCTTAAGGAAAGAATCTGCTCCTTTTTATCAAAGCTGTTTATTAGCACTCATGAAGCTGGTCTTCAGGGCCTGGAGGAGGGCTCTCATGGGGAAGCTGACAGCTGCATTTTTATGTCTGGCAGATATGCTGCAAAACATTGGAGCGAAGCCATCATGATCAAGGCGAATAAATATGCATCCCTTGCCTTAGTCAGGATGACTTTGCACTGATAGTCAGTGGGTGACAGGCAGAGTACAACCTCAGCAGATCATCAGTAAATAATTACTACTTCACATCATGGCTTCAAATCCACAAATATTTTACTTTGCTGACATCTGCTGGTTGGTTCAAGTAAAAATGGCAGACATACACTTCACTAAAAGAAATAAGAGAATATAGAGTTGAATGACCTGCAGTCTCCTATCCTGTTTCTGAAAATTCATTCTAAATGTTTATATTACTGAAATATCATAAAACACAAACAATCCCCAAATCTGTGAAACCCAGCTGACCAAAGCAGATGCACATAACAAATGAGTGAGTGAGTAGACTGATTGAGTCACACACTTCACATTTACCAGACCTAGAGTCAGCAGAGGACCAGCCCATCTCAGAACCACGTGGACAGAAATCTTGATAAGCCTTCTTTCTTCCCTCCTCTCCTCACTGTGACAATGTGGCTCTGCAGCTTGTGTCAGTGGTTCAGCCTCACATGGATGCTGGTTTTGATTTTTACAATCCTAATCATCGTAAATTTGTTCAACAAAAAGGATCCGCCTCACTTTCCACCAGGACCGCCTGCACTTCCTTTCTTTGGGAACATCTTCAGCATTGAATCCAAGCAGCCTCATATTTACCTCACTAAGGTAAAAAAAAAAAAAAAGAAAAAAGAAGCAGAAATAAGAATATATCGGTAATCCAGCATTTTAACACAGTTGTCTGACATAAAAAAATTGCAAATTTTCATAAATGTCTACCATTTCTTACTTTTTTTTTAAAAGATGTTTTAATACAAAAAATGCACACACAAAAAAATAAATTAACGATTGGTGACAGTGTCAACAACAAATTGACTGCATTATTTTAGAGTCACATGCTCCACAATAGAACCCTTCTACTCTGATTCTGCAATCACAGCTTGCTGATGTTTATGGGAATGTGTTCTGCATACGTCTGGGAAGACACAAAACAGTGTTCTTGTCCGGGTGGAAGACGGTGAAAGAGGCTTTGGTAACACAGGCAGAAAACTTTGCAGACCGGCCTCACAGTCCAATGGCAACCAGGATTTACTCAGGAGACTCAGGTGAGTCAGGTTGGTCAGATTTAGAGCGTCAGGGCAACCAACGCTTGAGGAATGTTTGATTTCTTTGCCTTTTCTAGGTGGCCTTTTCTTTAGCAATGGGAAGGTGTGGAGGAGGCAGCGGCGCTTTGCCATGGCCATGTTGCGTACCTTTGGTATCGTCAAGGGCTCCATGGAGACGAACATCTGTCAGGAGAGTCGACACCTGCAGGAGGCGATGGAGCAGGAGGAAGGTTGACAGCAGTGGAAAACAAACCAGATTTTGCACAGATAGCATCTTGTACTTAAAGACTTTAGTCTTCTTGCTAGGTAAATCCTTTGACCCGGTGCCACTTCTGAACAACGCTGTGTCCAACATCATCTGCCAGATTGTGTTTGGGAGAAGGTTTGACTACAGTGACCAGGACCTCCAGAGCATGCTGAGGAATATGACAGACATAGCCCACCTGGAAGGCTCAATATGGGCCCTGGTAAGTTACAGAGAAAGCTGCAGGGTGTACTGTAATGGGAAAAAAATGAAAAAGGAGAGTCCCCTGATAAACTCACACGATGTTACCAAGCAGAGATTGGTGATTTTAACTCAAACAACACTTTATTGATTCTTAAAAGAATGAGAACAGCAAGCAGGCATGTTCAGTCTGGTCTGACCTAACTAGACAGAGTCACTACCCACTTTTACTGAGTTATCCAAAGTTTCTCACAGGGATTATGGGAACCAATGTTTCTGGCTCAGCATTAGGATGTTTGAAACATTGACAATGGAGGAGTGCTTCATTCTTATCCAAACCTTCCTTAACTTCCAGTAGGGCGAGAAAACAATCGGTTTCACATGATCGTAACTGTTGCTGCAAAAGGAGATTACCATAAAAGTTTCCCCAAACTGTACAAAGTATTAAAAGAAGCTATTCTCTAAAATTCCACTGATAGTGTAAAAGTCAGAAAGTAATACATTTTATTTTTGCAGTAGTGCATTTTGATGCCCTTATTTTTTTTTCCTCTCTTGACAGCTTTATGATGCTTTCCCAGCAATAATGAGACACTTGCCAGGGCCTCACAATGGCATCTTCAGCAGCTGCAGATCTCTGAAGGCATCCATCAGGAAAGAGATAGAAAGACACAAGCTGGATCTGGATCTAAGCAACCCACAAGATTACATCGACAACTTCCTTATAGAAGAAAGAGTATGGGACTCGCTTTGGTTCAACCAACAAAAACAAACAAAAAAAAAAGGCTGTGACATATCAGATTTAAGACCCGACTGTGTATCTGTGTCTTCATTGTATCTCAACAGCACAACAGAAAGCAGGATGTGGGATTTGTGGAAGAAAACCTGGTTCTGTGTTGTCTTGATCTGTTCTTGGCTGGCAGTGAGACTACTTCAAAGACTCTGCAGTGGGGACTCCTGTACCTTATGAAACATCCACACATCCAGGGTGAGCTCAGATCACAACCATGTTCACCAACAGATCAGATTACCTGAGGAAGACTGCCACATGCTGGTCAGCAACTGGATTTGATTTGCTTTGTAGACAAAGTCCAGGAAGAGATAGACAAAGTGGTCGGACAGAGCCGCCAGCCCACCATGGCAGACAGATCCAACATGCCCTACACTGACGCCGTCATCCACGAGATCCAGAGGATGGGAAACATTGTTCCCCTCAACGCACTCAGGATGGCTGCCAGGGACACAGTGCTGGGCGGTTACTTCATACCAAAGGTGTGTCTGATCATCCCCCTGAACACGTCTGCAGGATCTCGCATTTAAATGTTTTAAACAAGCAAAAGTCTCACAGGGTGATTTTATCTGCCACGAAGAATAGTACAATCAATATGTAATGTAGACCGTGTACTTTAGTTGCTCTAGTTGTAAAGTCTTTGCACAATTCAGGATCAAACACTTCATTATATTCTGGGAATCACCATTTGATACTTGACATTAGCAAATTTCTGAAAAAAATGTATCACCACAAAACAACTTTGTTTTTTTTTTCTATTTCCTTCTGCAACCAGTATTTGAGTGATTCTTTTCAAGACCACTTCCAGACTTTAATTGTTGCAATCTGTCATTTAAATTGTTAGTTGTTTTTATTTTGATATCTAAAAGTTTATATTCAGATTTAAAAGTTTGGAATACCTACTTAGCCTCATCACTCAAACTTCCCACCCGAGTAGGTTTTTGTGGGGAAGACTCCCAAATTCGGATTTTAAAAAAATATTCCCCATTTACCTTTGAGGCCTTTCTGTTTCTCATTGTAGGTAAACGACAATGTAATTGACCAACATTGCTCAGATAGACAAAAACACTTTACACATCATGTAAAAAATATATAATATATGAGCCCATGACAGAATTATTTCCCCAGTTTCCAGATTTTCTCCCTCTCTTGTCGTCTCATAAGTCCGTTTTCTTTCTTTGCAGGGGACGGCTGTGATGCCTAACCTGACCTCTGTTCTTTTTGACAAGAACGAATGGGAGACCCCTGACAGCTTCAACCCCAAACACTTCCTGGATGAAGACGGCAGGTTCATAAGGAAGGAGGCATTTTTACCTTTCTCCGCCGGTAACAACTGCATTTAAGTGATACCTCTGCACATAAACTTAGTTTGGAATTATGATTTTGAACAGGAAAGGTACACTGGTAAAAATGATTCAAGAGGAAACAGAAACCATGCGTTTAAAGGATAATGATGATGGTACCGTTTTTTTCTCTCTTCAGGAAAGCGAGCGTGTCTAGGTGAAGGTCTGGCAAGGATGGAGCTCTTCCTGTTTTTCGTCATCTTATTCCAGAAGTTTCACTTTTCCACTCCGGACGGCGTTGAGCTGAGTGCAGAAGGGATAACTGGAGCCACACGCGCACCACATCCATTCAAGATCTTTGCAAAACCCCGCTTTGACTTGAAGGCTACATGTGAAAAAGCATAAGCTGCAGGATGGACAACAGGCACTTTGAGAAAATGGATCTGTTGTTACTTTGGCAAATTGCAGAAACATCAGTGTTTTTAACCAGGCGATGTTGATGGATCAGATACAACATGCTCCTTCTTCAGACGAATCTATATATAAAAATGTATCCGATTACCAACATTTATCCCAGTCAACAATCATTAATCTTCTCAAACTCAAGGTTTTTGTTTTCAGAGCCTGTTGACAAATTGTTTATGATTAGATTCATTTCTGCTTTTTTTTTTTTGTTGTCGTTAGTCTACTGATGCTGGATGATGTGATAATATAATCGCTTTCTTATATCAGTCACGGCTTCCTTAATATAATCTAGTGAGGATTGAGATTTGACAAAACATAAATAAAAAATGAACTGCAATATTTGAAAAAGAATTTATTCAGCAAAAAAGCTATTAAATTTTCTAAAATTCATTATACATTTCTTTAATAAGTTACTTACAAACATTTAGCATTATGCAGGTTGCTGTGTACCTTCTACCTGATTGTACAGTCTATTTTATTAAATGACTATGCCTTTAAGTCAGCAATTTACAATAACAATTGGCTGCAAAGAAAGAGATTCAAGTGACATACATGTATAAACCACATGTGGCCGTAAAACAGAACATCTCATGTGCTGCTGACAAACAGAGAAAAGGCAAAGAGGCTGCTAAACCTGAACAGCTTACAATGTCATGAAAAGGAATTCACACACCTTCTAAAAAACACAAATTTCAATTAATTCTTTTTTGGGGGGATGTTTTGTGACAAACACAATATGAAGTGTAAGGAATAACACACATTTTGACTGACTAAATATCTGAAAAGTGGGACAAGCATTTTGTATTGACTGCATTCATAATTGAGATCACAGTTTAAGATGTTTTGACAGAGAATTGACTGAGGAGTGAATACATATGCACTCCCCACTTTTCAGATATTTGTAAAGAACTTTATAATAGTCCATCTTCAAAAGGTCACCATAAAACTAGCCTGTGTCTGCCGTCGCTACGTGTCAAAACGTGAAAAAACTAAATATTCTTGCAGGGTGGTGGATATTTAACTACGTGGTGTCAGACTGATCACTTTCAGTGCAAAGACAATAAGTGCTTTTCAAAATGTTCTTTTAATCAGCATCCTAAAAGAAAACATTGACATGTGCTAAAACTTTTAGTGTTACAATTTGCAGGAGCTGTGAAAGTGTTCGACCTGGATGTGGTGGTTGCACGAACAGCTGGTGTTGAATCATTCATTTCTGTATCAGTAACATATTAATTGACTTAAAGAATCAACACACACAGTAAACAAAAAGGCCCATCAGTTCCCATCGAGAGCATATAGAAAAGATAATGGACTATTCCCAGATTTCTTATTGCAGCACCTCAAGTGTTAGAGTTAATTTTTTTCAAAAAGCATTTGAAATCATAAACTTTTCAATTATAGGACAAAAAGAAAACTACAAGTGTTTGTTTAATGCTTAGAAATCCTTGGTGGCCGGCACCAGATATGGCTGGATCAAATCTATTCATGCTGCTGGATTACACCGCACCTTTTAAAGTGTTCCCACTGTGACAACATTTCTTAAATATTTGTAGAATCATTTCATTTGATTGATTTCAGCGGTTTAAACTAAAACTAAAGCTAAAACAGCAGGCCTCATTTCCACAAGGATTTTCATTTCTGACCTTAACACAATACAAGGAGAGCTATGTTATAGAAGCTAAATATGAGGGTGAAAAAAAAAAAAAAATCACAGGGCAGAGAGGATAGTCGTTGCAAATCTACATCTAGCTTTGGCTTGTGAGTTCGACTCGGGGTAAAGTCTCTGTCCTTCAGGCAAATGCACAGCAGGGTATACCAACACAACCTCTGCTTTGACCTGGGATGGGTCTGATAAGTGCTCACTGATCACACGCAGCCTGTCCTTCCTCAGAGGCTGACAGCAGAATCATTTAAGGTCACTTGAGTGCTTACACTGTTGTGTGTTTTTGCCTAGTTTAGCTGATGTGAGGTGCTGTGGCACGGTGACAGTCTATTTGGAGGTAGGGGCAGGCACGCTGACGGAGGCGGCCCTGCGTGGGGCGTTTGAGACTTGCCGCTGCTGCGTCAGGAAGGACTGGCCGGGTGAGAACGTGGCGGCGCCGCGACCTCCGAGACGAGATTCCATGGCCAACTTCTGAAAACTCAAACTCTAATAGCACAGAAATCAGAGGTAAATTGTAGTAACTGATTTAAAGAATACTGAAAATGTCATTAGTGGAGATGTGCTGATCGTAATTTTGACCTGCTGATACCCACATTAGTCAAGTCTGTCTCTTTAGAGAACAATAATACCAGAAGTCCTAAAAACAGTAATCAACACTTTTACCGAGCACACCTGTTGTAAAGCAATCATTCATTATCTTAATGCGGAGGCAACATCACGTGTGAGAGAAGTCACCAGGAAAGAATGAAAACAAAAACATCTTCTGTGCTGATTGATAGCTGGCTTTAACAAAGGTAACATAAAAACATATACGATGTTCAGTTGGAAAAAAAAACATCACTAAATGTAACAACAGTCTCCTGGTATCTGCTAATGTTGCGTTAATAGCTCAGTGATTTAAATACTGTTATTCTGAGTTGTTCTGAACTTCTAGTGTCAGATAAAACTGTTTGCTTGCACCACTAACAGGATTTATTTATTTTCCAACAAGCTAAATCAAAGCCACTTCATGTTATCTGCTGAAAGTTTAGCTCTCACTCGCCGTCTCACTGCATCAGTAAACTTGAGACACATTGCGACATGTATTAGAAAAAGTTTAGTTTTATGCAGCTTTTATTCCTCAGCGATTCCTTTAACTTTATTTACATCCCACCGATAGAGAACTGAATATAGTTAACCAAATCATCTCACAGAAACACCCAGACTGAAGATGGTTGTTGACATCATGATATTTAGCGACTACAATGGTGCATTTACTGTTCAGTATGAAGTTAGACATTTCATTTGGACCGTTTGTTATTGCACCTCTACTGATGAATATTATGTTCTGCATGAAACCAGCTCAACCTTGTTTAGTGTCAGAAACTAGATCCCAAACAGAAACTCTGTCAATGTCTACAAAAAGAATATAACAATTGTGGTTTTTTATGCTGCTAACCAAGTCTGATAGTGTTGTAAAGCTCTCTCAATCACTTCAGTAAATGCCTCCACTGTGAATAGTATACATTTTTAATTAAAGCCGTTACAACTCACTTTGTTATACCAAGCTGTAACAAGCAGCTTCTCCTCATACTCTCTTAGCCTGGCCTGCTCACATTGACGCTAGGAAAAAACACATTCAACATCACAATTAATGAATGCAATACTCAAATTGTTTGCAAACTCATACTAGAATCAATTAAGTAAAGGTGCAATTACTTCAAGGTTGAGAATCTGTTTGTCCCGATCTGCCAACTGGCTTCTGAGAGCCTGGATCTCAGCGGTGGCAGGATTCAGCTTGGGGTCCAAGGCTCGGATTACCTTCAAGGGAAAAGCAGGGGTCAAGATGAAAATACTGATGAGTAACTTGATTTCATCTCACCTTTAAGAGTTACCAATGTTAAATTAATTTAACTCACATTCCGCGCCTTCTCCAGGTACATCTTGTATCTTTCTTCCATGGCCCGCATGTCGTCGTCCTTCTTTTTCAGAGCAGCCATCAGCTCATCCACTTTCAAAGCTGAGAAGCAACAAGTCAGTTTTCTATTAGATGTTGAAAGAACAACACACCTGCGTTAAAACTTTTAAGCCGTACATGTCTGGGTGTGGTCAGGCTGAAGGTCCTCCAGAAGCTCTTTCTTCTTCATGATTTCATCTTGAGCCTCGTTCAGCTGGGACCTGAGGAAAAACAAGAGATCCACTTCCACCTACTGGAGAACACGAGCTTGTATTTCTGTCTGAGAGCAAACTCACTTACATGTGGGCATCCAGTTTCCTCTTTAGATTTGACTGAAAATGAAAAATGTGTGTCAAAACTGAGCAAAACATCCTGGGTGAAGCCTCTCTATTGAAGGCTCTTCCTCATTTTTCATGTCCATATCACATACTTTGTCAAACTCAAATGTCTACTTATGCAAGTAAGTAACTGAGAGTCTAAGTAACTAAATACAAACTACTCATACAGCAAGTAATTAAGTGAGTAAGTATGTAAGCAAATGAACTAAATATTTAAGTTAGTAACTAGGAACTTAAGTAATTAAGTCACTAAGTAATTTAGTAACAAAGGGAGTGAAAAAGTATTTGTCAAGAAGGAAAAAATTTTATATTTTCCACTCCCTGTTCTCTCTCACTCAATTGTCATTTTTTCCAATCCGGGTTCAGACTACACTGTAACTCTGTGTTTTGCTGATAGAGCAGGTTTGAATCCTCACATCATCTGGTTTGGCCGCCTGACTCTGCAGAGCCTTCTGCAGCTCTTCCACCTGCTGCTGCAGCTCACTGATGCGCTCTTGGCTCAATCTGAAGATGAAGCAGCAAACAGAAAAAAACGTCAACATGCAGAAAGAGAATCAACACAAAAGGAGCACGAATGAAGCACACCTGTTCTCTGTGTCCAGTTTGCTGTGGGTCTTCTCAGCTTCCTCCAGCTGGGTCTGCAGGGTGGCAATCTTCTCCTGCTCATATTCCTCCTGCTGCACTCTCAGCAACTTGTTCTCATGCTGCAGTCTGATGACCTTTTCTCTAAATAACCACGACAATCCGGAATCACACACAGCATTGAAGCGGAAAGAACACAAATGCATACAATGAAGCAGTAAAATGCTACCTGTACTCAATGGGAATTAATTCAGCTGCCAGGTTTTCGTGGCTGGGGCTGCCAGAGGGAAGAATCCCTAAGTACAAAAAGGTACAATGATGTGGGAAAAAAAAGTATTTACTCCCTTACAGTTTTCTTCTGTTTTTGCTGGGTTTTTTTTCTCCATACTTATATTTTTCATCCAGACAAAGTAAACAGAAAAACAGCTTTCTAACAATTTAAGTCCTTAAGAACAAGATGATAAAAGTAACTTGCTTGCCCTCTAAACCTAATAAGTTGTTGTTGTCAGGCTGATTATTTGTTTACTTGAAACACATTTGAGTGACAAAAACAGAAATCAGTGTGAGGATAAATCATTTCCAAAGTACTTTAGGTAGTAAATAAGTTAGTAAATAATAAAAAGCATCACTAATTGATTGACGTAGTACCTGATTGTGAGAGCTGGTCCTGTTGAGCCTGAGTGCATCGCAGCTCCTCGTTGATTTCCTTCAGAGAATCTCGTTCAATGATGATCCGCTAACGGTGTAAGAGATGTAAAGTTTTTTTGTTTTTTTTTGTTTTTTAAAGGTAAAGGTGTTAAGCAAAGCCAATATATAGCTCATATTGATGGTGAAATGTTATAAGATGTTGAACCTCTTTTTCTTTCAACACAGTTTCATGTTTCTCTTCCAACTTTTTCATCTCAAACGCCATGATGTCTGCACGTCTGGTTTCCTCTGACAACTTATTGTGGAGGTCCTGGACCTTTGGAAACAAAAAACAAATCTGCTTGTAGGGCTGAAACAATTAATAAGATTAATCGATTATTGAAATGAACGTCAGCGAATTAAGTAATTGATTAATTGTTAACTAAAGCGTACAAACTCAAAAAAAAAAGATAATTTACTGACAGAATATTAGCAGATATTAAACCAAACCTGTCCAAAAAAATAAACATTTTGCATTTAAGATTTGCATTTGTCTGTAAACATAGTATTATACAATCTTGAATAAAAATGCTTAAGAGGTTGAACTAAAAATTTGCAAAGTGTGGCAATTTATTATCAGATTGTGAGAATAGTCAATAGAATAATCAATTACTAAAATAATCGTTAGCTGCAGCCCTATATGCTTGGTACGAAGTACATTCTCCAAATGCAAATTACATGACATATAATCAAAAAATGATATTTAATCCTGCAATAAGAGTAAGCTCTTTACTTGTCTTTTGTAGGACTCCAGCTGTGCGCGGGCGGCGTTTGCTTTGCGCAGCTCCTCCTCCAGAGCAACGCTATTTTGCATGTAGGTCATGTTGTTCTCCTCCAACAGCTTCACCTGCCGCTTTAGGTCACTGAGATTCTCCAGCTTACGCTTGTAGGTTTCCACTGATGCCTCCAGGATCACCACTCTATCTGAGCAGTTCCTGAAGAAGATCAACACAATTATTTCCAGTAAATAAGTCAAATGTTGCAGTGAGACTGGAGTGTAGTTTGTAGTAGTTGTTTGCAAAAGCATCTATACTCTTTGGACGTTTATAAACATTGATGTGTTTGCTGTAAAATGGACGTGCAGGCCATTTTGCCTGTAAACTAATTGTTTACTGAGGTAGAGGATTAGGGTGACACACAGATCAAAGCATTTAGGAGTGAATAGAAGCTAGAAAAGTTAAACTGCAGTTTAGAAAT